GGATTTTGCCTCCACCTCTCTCTCCTGAGGAAAGCACCAAACCATAGGCCATGCTTGGACGGGCACACTCTGTATCTCTCTCATCGTGTCAGTCTGTGCAGCAAAGAATGAAGGATTTATAGGGGTGGAGAGAGAGCCTGCAAGGGGCTGCAAGCCTGAGTAGTTCACACTGTAATAAAGTCACTGTCTTAAGGGGGGTGGAGGGGGATTTCCTGTTTTCTGGTCTCTGCTACAAGAAATACTTTTACATGAGTCATTAGATAGATAAAAAGGCATAACAGCACTGAGAGCAGGGACTGGACTGCAGCAGGCTATCCCACTCCCTCCAACTACACACTCAAGTTATTCATGTTACCATTAGAAATGTCAAAGCTATTAAGAAATGTTGCTACGTATTTCAACGTGCTGACACCCTAAAGGATTTTCAGCTTGGCAAAAATGCCACCAGGGGAAATGTGGGCCCAAAAGGTTTTCTTGGCATATCCCCCCCCCCCCAAACCAGAAGAGGCTATTTTTAAATGTGGAAATTGAACAGAAGTAATCCTAGGTTAACTTGATTGTTCAAACTGTGTAGCCCAGGTGCAAGGGTTGTGTCTGTGACAGGGTTGTTGGTAATCCACCTGCAAGGCCAAGTTTTATATGTGAGTATTAATAACTGCACTTCATGATCAATAACTGCAGTGATTACCCCCCCCAAACCAGAAGAGGCTATTTTTAAATGTGGAAATTGAACAGAAGTAATCCTAGGTTAACTTGATTGTTCAAACTGTGTAGCCCAGGTGCAAGGGTTGTGTCTGTGACAGGGTTGTTGGTAATCCACCTGCAAGGCCAAGTTTTATATGTGAGTATTAATAACTGCACTTCATGATCAATAACTGCAGTGATTATGGTATAATACTGATATGCTGATAATTATGAATAATATTGATAATAAGAAATAATCAAGTAAGAGCTGATGAGATTTTGATACACATGTAAATACATGAATTGTGTAGCCATTAAGATTTCAACTGCTGAGTGTACTAATCAAGAGCTAATCAAAACAGTTGGGAAATGTTTGGAAATGAACGTGTAGAGTAGCTAAAGGCATGTTTTAAAGGGTGGCTTAAGGGCTTCAAGCTTTTTGCAGAGTGACTTTACTATGCTCAGGCATGTCATTTTTCCCGGAGTGCTTTAATGATGTCAACAGGGCTGTGCGTACAGAAATGGATAATGAACAGCTAGCAAGGTTTTTTTGGCTGGGTTTCTTGCATCTAGGATAAAAGAGGGCTAACCTCTGTCTCGCATCCTACTGGAACAAGCCAGCAAATGCTGAGAGCATCCTTTGGAAATGGTAGAATTGCTTGGCCTACTGCCTTCTGTCAGATGATGCTACTTAGTTTTAGTGTATCATACATGAAACCAACCCCAACAATTACAAAATTGCGCAGTAATATCCAGGGCTGAGCAAGAGAGACAGAAGGAGCCTGCATGCCAGAATTTCTATGCCAAAGGGAGGAAGACCTGAATAGTGTTCTCCTACCTCATGACAAGAGACCATTTGGATACTGGCAGTAGTCACGAGATCTCGTTTGTGCAGGCTGGCACTAATCCGTTCAATATAAAACACATTGAAAAAGGCCTCTGATAGAGGTAGTGGAAGAACCAGGTCCTATTAAGCCGACGCTGCCTGCCTGCTGTGTGCCTTCACACAAGGTGAAGTGGCAGCACTAGGATGGGATGTCCTATCTCATGGAGATATGACATCTGACCCTGCCTTTGGCACACCAATCGGCTTTTTGCATTAGAAAAATGTAAAAATATAGTTTTTCTAAAGAGAAAGCATCGGGAGCAGGTAGTCCTTTTCTTTGTCAAGGTAAATGGGATCTCCCTTGTAAGACCATCTCAGATGGAGAGTGTTCAAAGCTGCAGTTTCCCAGGAAAGCATCTTTGTCACCAGAATATCAGTCAGAACAACAGCCTTCTCGCATCTCTGCTGCTAAAACTCATCCACTGTAAATGAAAACCCAAGGTTGTGGGCAGCAGCAAGGTTATGGGGAGGAGTAATTTGACTCTAGGACTCTCTATGCTGTTTGCACCGTACTTCATTCTTGCTAAGTAAAAAGCGTAAAACCACATCACCCCCCTGCAGCATATCTAGACCATCTCTATCCTTCCTGACTGTCTCAAGCTCCTGAGCTCTTTGCTCCTCCCTGACCGGCAGCGTGGGCTCGGCAGGCAGAGGAGCCCATCTGTGGAGACAGCAGCAGGGGCCAGCCTTGTCCGGGCACGTGCAGGACCAGAGACAAAGGGAGGAAATGCAGGACACAGGCAAAGTGTTTACAAATTGATTTGTGTTGGTTCACACACTTGAAATGCTGCACTCCAGCAGTAATGGATTCTGGACCTTTTTTCTGCCTTCAGCCACTTGCTGGTGGTGTGGGTGCAGCTACAGGGCATTGGTGCTTTAGGACTGGAAGCTTTTTAACCTGAATAACTTCAGTGACAAATGTGCTCCTGCTGTTACTGAACCTGGAGCACAGGTTGGTGCCTGCAAAGGCATCCATCCTCTTTTCCCCTGCATAACCTGCAAAACCAGATATTCTGCTCTACAGTTATGCAGTCCCATGGTATGACCGTATATCCACAAAGGACTGTAGCCATAGGCCTTGCAGGAGGGAGGTCTGCCATGGTCCAGTCATGGCTTTTTCTGTTTTGGCTGTTTCTAGTTGTCTTTCAGCAGGTATGCATCCTTTGGCTCCTGGCCCCTTGCTCTCCTGCTTATCTGGTTCTCACCCCTCATATTTTTCATCTGCTCTGCTCCTATTCTGGCTCATTTTTACTACTCCCTTCTCTTCCCCCAGTCTAGCCTCACTGTATGTGCTCAGTGGCGTACGAACTAAGAGAGATTTCAGCTGGAGTTTGGGGGCACTCTTGGGAATGGCCTTGTTGTTCCACCTTCCCCCTTGCCCGTTTCACATCTTTCTATGTCAGAGTCTGAATCCTGCAGATCAACAGCATTGCTACAATGCAGCAGGGCAAGAATTTTCCCTAGTTATCCGTAAGTTAGTGGAAATACAGATAAAAAACTAGCCCTGCATCTGTGGCCGTGGAGGCTCTACGGGCAGGTGTCCAGCACACTGGCGGCTGCAGGTACCTCCAAGAACCGCATCCATCCGATGGGGATGCGTGGCACTCCTCTTTGGAGGAAAACCCAAGCACTCTCAGTAGTGAGAAGGCTCAGTCCAGCAGCGTTACCAAGGTGGATTTCGTGCTACACCTAGAAGCTTTCCAAACTGCGTGCTAGCTTTGGCTAGCCCAGCCTGGCTTCATCCAGCTGTGACAGGATTTTGCCCTAAATGATTTCATCTATTTCTGCAGCTCCAGCATGCACTTTTATCTGGAAGCGAACTGTTTACTTATTTGCTTTTAATTATTTATGGTAATGAAATAGCACCCATATCTGAAAATTTTCCACAAAAAATGAATACTCTTGTAGTTCAGATCTGTGACCATGAAAGAAAACACAGTTCCCCACTGTTGCTTATAATGTTTATTTGTTTTTAACTTCAAAACACAGGTGATTTTCTCAAAACACATAGAGTAATGGGAGAAATGAAGGTGGGCTCTTTCTAACTTTCCCAAGAAACACATCTGGAAAAGCATACTTTTGCAAAACAACACCACTTTCACAAACCTGGACAGTGAGATTCCAAAAAGTCATAAATAGCAGTGAGGTTACCAACCAATGTTGTTGGGGTTTTTTTCTTCTTTTTTTTTTTTTTTTTTCCCCTTGTTTAACTTGCAAACAGCACTAAATGAACCCACAATTTCCATGGCTAATACAGAGACATTTTTACAGAAGTGTCTGAGTATGCAGTTAATTTCCAAGATGGGGAATTATGAAGATATACCTCCTCACTTTGATTCTGTAAAATAAATTTTGTGGAATAATTGGATATTATAACATCTGATAGTCTTGCTACTGATTTAAGCCTACAGCTCAGCTATTTAAATCACCATCCTTAATTGCTACTTGGTTACTTTTACCTAAAAGTCATTTTTTACCCATAGGCAGGTACAAAAACTTTCTTTAGAAGCAGCAGTGAAGTGTTGAATTATATTTTGTAAATAGCTCTGATGCCACACTTCATCAGTATTCTTAAAACCTTAGTCTCATTTTTGGTTTCATTGCCTGTACAACATCTCTTAATAGTCAGGTAGAAAACCAACCAGTTTGGAGACAGATCAGTAAAATTAAAGGCCAGTTTTCCTGAATCTGAATGCTACAGCCAGGCCCTGAAGGGAAGGTCAGGGTGGGTGGAAATAATTCTGCAGACCAACGAGGAAAAGTATGAAGCCACAGTTCGGACTAAAGTGACTAGAAAATGCCAAGATCTACAACTCCTAGCACCTGCATAGACACACACAGAGTCAGGCACAGACGATCAGACACGCACCCCTGCACGCACGGGCCCTGGGAGCCGCAGGGCAGGCACGCCTCGGTGCCCCACAGGGAGCACAGGGCTTTGCCTACCAGCTCGCGGCCATTGGAGCTGCAGCAGCTCCACAGCAATCTCGGCAGGACCCATCTTCTCCTACAGCCTGGGCTGTGCAGCGCCACAGAGCTAAAATGATCCTCTATGGCTGGGACTGTTGAAGAGCAAAAAACATATTTGGGAATGCAATCTCTTAATTAATAAAATCTGGATGGGAACATATTAGTTATTTTTGCTAGCTAATGCCTGCTCTTCACAAGTCAGTGTTCCTTTTCCTGCATGCATGTGAAAATCGAATGTTTCTGGCACTGGGTGTGCTGCCCACATTGTAACGTGCTTCACAGCTTTTTGTACCTACGTAGAAGGAAAATATCACTTTACCATCTGATTTGTTTGAGTTGCATAGTCATCAGTGCTATAGCAAGAAACAGATGGACTGGGAATTAGGAATCACTCAAGCACTGATCTGAAGAGGGTCTTCCTGAACACAAAGCGGGTACATGTGTTAAGTGGCCACAAAACTTACAGTCTATCACATTCAATATCAGGGTTATTAGATGGCGTATCGAGAATACCAAAATACACTTCCCTGTTTGCTGGAGGTGGGGTATTGGTTGGACTTCCCACCCCAGAATCAGGGCTTGGTGCAGGGTGCATTTCTCCTGCATACTTTTCTTCTTTCTGAGAAGGCTCTTGTTGTTTTTGCTTGAGGTTTTTGAAACGTTTGAGCTTCACAGGATCCTTGACTTCCTTGGCACAATGGAATAAGATGAAAATGTCCCTCCGAAATTTGGAGCTCATTCCAAAATAGATAATGGGATTGTAGAAGCTGGCAGACTTAGCAAACAAACTGGCAAGGATGCTGGTAAGATTGGGCACAGCGTGACCATAGGCAGACCATATAGAGATGACAGCGTATGGTGACCACGCAATAATGAAGGCTGTGCAAATGACAATAGAAACCTAAAAGACAGAAGAAGAATAGTCTTAAACCTATTCTGGAAAACTACATCAGGGAAGTAATACACTGGGAATAGTAGCTTGGACACTTGGCTGGAAGGGAAACATTCGAATTGTCCTGAGGGTATGGCTCACAGGAGAGTACAGGCAAGGAAGAGGTTAGCTTTGAGGGAGCCAGGCAGACCTAGAAGCTATATATCTAATTTTGGCATGGTGGTGTACTTGAGCAATGCCTCATCTAATGGAATGGAAATAGCTACAGTCCCATGTATGTTTATATGAATTAAGAGGGTTTTGGGTAGAATTAAGTCAACGGTAAGTAATTTGAAAGCTCCACTGTAACTTCTGTGTATGCTCAGAAGTAACATAACTTCTGAAAGAAAAGAGCATATGCCAAACCAAACTTTTGTTTTTGTGAGGTATAACCCACTCCAATTATATTCAGATTATTTTTCGCATGTGATGTAGCACCAATATTTTAGCCAAGTGACGGGATAGAAGTTTTAAACAATCTTCATATTCTTCACTGAGTTCAGACTCTGTCACTAGAGATTATAGAGAAATGAAAGGCAACTGATTATTTTGTTCTCTTCTGTTCTAGTTGGGACCAATTTTTGGAAAGACAGATTTCATTGAGAAAAATCCCACCCAACATGAAACCCAGACTCACCCTGGTGACGTCCCGCTCCATTCTCCTCTGTCTGTCTGTGGGATCACCCAGACCTGTTAATGCATGGCTTAGCTTGACAGTATTGATAATTGACACATATGAGAAGACCATGACTGTTACAGGTAGGAAAAAACAGCAGATAAAAATGGAGACAATGTAGGACTTGTAGATTGTAGAGAAGTTGGCTTTTGCCCAGTCTATCTCACACGTGCCATACATGCGATCTGGAAAGCAAAAACAAGTTGGTTAGCATTTTTAGAACATTTATCTGCTTTTGAGTGATTAATATATCAGTTCAAATGTTGTATTTTTCTTCTTTTAAGCAATAAAGAATGGATTGCTCTTTCTGATTTAACGAGCCGTGACATAATTTCCTACATAAACAATTTTTCCAGACCACCTAGACCAAAACAAGTTTTAATGCGTATTATCATTATCATTCTGTCCGGTTTAGACTTCCAGTGTAAATACATAATGCACAAACTGTTGTTTCAGAATAGGAAATTGTGATACTTTATTAGAAAAAAAAGGGTATTCATTCAGTAGGTTTGATATTTTTGAGTGTTATCTACTCTTATTTGTCATAATCTTCTACATACTAACTTCCTAAGATAAGCACTGTAACAGCATAACAAGCAATTGTAAAGAGACAATATGCCAAATGTAAAAAGTCACTACTTATATAGCAAAGTAGGAAATAAGAATGTCAAGGTTTTTTAATAGAAACAAAAAGACAATGAAATTTTTACTGTAGCGAGAGTCATGAAAGGAAATTGATACAGTTAATGGTAAAGATTATGGGAAGATGAAACATATAAATACTTAGAAAGATATGAGACCTTTTGCTAAATGGAAAGCATACAGTTCTGCAACCACAAAGGAGCTGCAGGCTCTTAAAAATGAAGTTAGGCAGATTGCAGGATCTGCAACTAGTGGGATTTACAAAAGGACACTAGCTGATCAGGTACTTAAGGGAAAGGCAGTGGGAATAAGGTGCAGTCTCTGCTTAAACACTTCTGTGAATAACAGTTGACTTCTTTAGACCCTCTGATGTGTTTGCAAATGTGTCCTGATATAAAACTTGAATTTGATAGCATTAGAGGTTTTCTATAGATTGAGAGTTGTTGATTTTTCTTTTTAAGTGGAAAAAGCTGTTTTTTCTGACAGCTATGGCAGCAAATTGGATTATAAATAAATGAAGCATGAACCAAAATTATGTAAGTCAAGTATTAACAAGTCTTGGAGATACAGTACAGGTGAAGCCTGCGTGATTTAGCAACAGATCTCTCCCTGATATCCAGCGATAATTCTGAAGCAAAAAAAAAAAAAAAATCCCTTAATTCCTCACAGGTGATAGGAGGTTTAGACAGGATGAATTAAAGGAGAAAAAGATTAAAATCTCTTTTATGATTCTTATAGAAAAAAGCGTGGTATTTTTAACACCAAAAGTTCTAGGTGTTGCTGTCTGGATGTGTTCAGTAATAGAAATAGACTGTTGTCTCCTTTGCCTTTTTCATCAGTAGACCCCAAGATTCAAAAAGATAACATATCTGGCTTAATTCCAGGTTTCTGTTTTGTGAAAACTTTTGACTGAAAAAAGAAAGCAGCCTCCAGATGACATGAAAAGAAAATCCTGCAGGTTTTCTGCGAGTGAGAATTCAGAGCTGTGTTTCCGCCCTCTGCAGAGACACTGGCAAGTGGCATTTCCAAAAACCAGCGGGGTCCTGGGGAGCCCTGCAGCTGCTGTATAGAAGTGAGAGGTCCGAGGCAGCCAGGTGTAAAGTGCCGGTGCCCGCTGCCTGCTCCGCTGCCTGCTGCCAGACTTGCCATTGCTGGGCTCCCACATCTCCATGGGTGCCCTCAGTGGAAACCTGTTTAGAGTCAGATAGCCCAGGAACCTGAAACCACTGTGATTCTCAGTAGGGAAAAGTGCTCCCAGAAATGGTCTTGAAGACCACTGTCAAGGGATTGAATCCAAAGTACAAACAGGATCCATGGGGGCACTTGATGCCCTGGCAAGGCAGTGATGCCCAAGAAGTCCCTGGCTCCAGTTTAAGGTTAACAGGGACATCAGAAATCCTTCTACAAATAAAGAGCTAGTAAGATTAAGGTAAAAGGAAAACACAGATCACCAGAAGATACACAGAAAATGACCAGTACAAACCCCCCAGGTTTATGACATATCCAGAGTGCAAAAACATGACATAAAATTAGAACAGTCTAATAAACACTTTGGTTTTTTCCTCAAACAAAAGATCCATTGAGCCTAATATCCTGGTAACATTTTGGTTTGGGAAGGATAGAAGATTTAGCCAATCATAGAAATGGCTGCTTTTCTCACACCCATACTTGAAGGGTTTAGAGATACCTCAAAGCTTATGTATTTAATAAGAAGATATATTCACATAGCTGCTTTAAGAAGTCTTCATAGATTTCATGACTTCTCAAAGGATACAGATGCCTACAGCATCCAGACAGAAAACTGCGGGACAATTTCATTCACATGATTTCAGTTGTTAGGACTCCTGTATCATTACCATTTGTTCTTAGAGGTTTGTTTTGTTGAATTTTTAGAGACTTAATTTGAGACTATTTCTCCAACTTTTCCCCATGAAGACATTTTCTGGTGTGGGAATATCCCTTAGCCATTGAATTACTGCAGTGTTCACTATTCAGAAGTTTTCCTGTTTTTCCCCCTTTTTCCCCCCTCCTTATTTGCTTGCAGCCTTATCACTTCTTGGACTGACAAACTTTCTGACATCTTCTTCTTCTTCTGCTATGTTAGTTTTCATATTTTCAACAAACTGTTTCACCAAATCATTCTGGCTTGTCTTATCATAGTTTCAAGTTTAACTTGCTGGAACTTGTGTTCTTTTCTAGCTTCCTAATCTTGACAGTCTTTGAAGGATGTCTTTTGATAATTTCCTTTATCTCATTGCTTAACCATGCCAAATATTTCTGGCCTCTCTTTTTTCACAGGTAATATGCACTTGGTCCAAGTCTTTCCTGTGTTATCTTCAAAAAAATCTCTTTATACCTGATACCAAAGCAGGCAACACTCTGAGCGTACATCATGCATGATAAATTATTTTCTCAGTTCCACTGATAATCGGTCTGGTTTATCACAAACAGCAAGAAAGAAAGGTAAGTATCTTCATTAAATGGAGAGGTGCCAAATAAGTACAACTGAAAGATACCTGTTACCTGTATAACTGCCCCAGCCGAGTAATGGAGCTGCTGACCAGAAGAAAGCTGCTATCCAAATGAGAACCAGAGCCACCGTCATACTGCTGTTGCTGATGCAGTGACCTGCAATGGCACGGTTTAGTCAGAAAATAATATCTAGAAAGGCAAACATACCTCTGAAATCTAAATGCACTTATATACCAACAGCTAATAAGGAAAATACAGCTATTTAAAAAAATATTAAGACAAAAAAAATGCATATTCATAAGAAAAGCTTAAATTTGAAAGCATCTGCCAGGCTTGTGTTCAAGACCATTTGTGAACAGTGGAAATTAATGGCTTTTAAGCAGGAGACAATGTGTTTGTTGAGCACTGCAGAACTGGCAAATTCTATGTTAGACATGTTTTGCAATTTTGTAAAAGGCAGGAAACAGTTAGTTGTATGTTAAGTTTTATGTAGAAACAAACAAGATAAGTCTGAATTCGGAGGATTTTCTTATTCACTTCAAGGTTTTCCCTATTAAAAAGGAAAAAATACGTTAGATACTCAAACTACATTAGCCATTCAATACAAACTACTTAATCTGTCTTGCTGTTGCCATACATTGTGGTTATTTCTTCATTTACATGAGAAATATTTGTGCATCCACCACTCTCTGTTCCTCAACATTTCTGTAAAGTTATACTGGGTACTTGCTCAGATTTCCTCAAGAGGCAAACATAAATTATGCACACCCTTAGATGAACATGTGATACAGCTTTGCAAAAGAGAAATGTGGGTTTTAAATATGACTTAATAATATGCAATGCATATAAGATGTACAATACATCACAGCCAAATTCTAGCAGCTCCAACAGCAGTTTGAATTGAAAATTAACTTCAAGAAGTCTGTCATTACAACAAACTGAAGAAGAGCTTCCTGTGGAAAAAAAGACCTCCCTGCAGAAGTTCTTTTCGCAGCTAATACTACTCCTGCTATTAGAGAGAAAAACTCATATGATGCATCCAGTGTATTTATGTATGCTTTACCTGCAGACTTTAATAGGTTCCTGTCTGAAAGATGGTGCAAGCCAGTCGTAACAAAGGCATGAAAATGGAGGATACATTACCTAAGGATGGGTGAAAGGAAGACGAGGGAGAATTTATGGGAGGTGTAGGTATAAAGAAGAGGGATTACCTAAGGCTGTCAGTGGAAGTCAAAGTTTTCAGCAGGCAGGAGGTCTAGGATGAATGGTAAGGAAAGGTTTCTACTGATCCTGTGAAAGGGAGTGCTTGGGGTGAGTGTGGTGATGTAAAGAGGCATACAGGGAAAGGGGTAGATGATGGCATGTTTATATAGACTTGCTGATGAGGGCTTTACAGGGCAGGAAACACGTAAAGGATTTCAGACCAGATTTGTATAGTGGGACACTCGTAAGCCTTTACAGAGACATTTATACCAAAGGTTAATAAAAAAATGAAAATAAAAAATACAGAAAGAGAGTGGTTAGTAAAAGGTTTCTAGCACTGGAGAGAGTAATGAGCAGTAGTTGTTTGAGATATTCAGGCTACAGATCAACAGGGCACTAGAGAAGGAAGAAGTGTGCGTGCAAGGCTGCGGTGATGGTGCTTTGCAGATCAGGAGACCGGGCCTCTCCGGGCAGAGTTGGGTCATGGTCAGTTCTGGGCATGGTAGGAGTAATTTTCATCTCCCATGGTGTGAAACTCTGCACCAAGGGGAGGCTAGAGAGGCATGTGGGGATGGCAGGCTGCGCAGTGCTACAAAACCTGGAGGCAAAGATGTGCAAACCGAACGTTCCCAGCGCCATCTAAAGCAGTCCATGATGCCGGCCGTGCACATACCCAGGCAAAACACCCTGAAGAGTAAAAATGTTTGTATGTAGGGCAGCCTTCCGAACCAAGGATCTTATCAACAACTGGAAACTTCCCAAGCATCATCTCATAGAAGATGAAATTTGTTACTTACAGTGAGAGCCAGACAACAATGAATGCATCACTTAGGAGTCATTTAAGTTGCATTTTGAGGAATACAGAGGGTCAGCAGGACCTGTGGTATCTTTGGCACAAGGGTGAATTTAACCCATGGTGACCAAAGTGTACTAGTAATAATTTGGCTCTTATTGGGGTTAACCGTGAAGGATTCTATGCAAACATGTTTGTAATGTAAATGACTGCATTATGTTCTGGTTTCCAACGTGTCTAATTTATATTTGATATAGCCTGTGACTGAAAGAAATACAGGTTTGCACTAGGTTCGATGAAGGCAGAACTGGACTTGCCTTTATTCCTTACCTCTCTCAGGATGGCAGCCCCTGATGTAGCGAGTCACACTGATTACTGTAAGGGTATTAATGCTAGCCAGGCCAAAGAGAAGCGTCAGGAAGCCATCAACCTGAAAAACAAAGCAGTGCAGGATGTTCTGCAGAGAGTTGAAGGGGAAAAGAACAACAGGGGTTGTTCCCGTCGTTTTCATGTTAATGCTCTCGAAATTTTTTTCAGAAACCCAACTAGCAGGGAAATATAAAATGTCAGGTGCAGTTATCTTCTATAGTATCAGTGAGCAAGTAAATGTCCAAAAATTATATAAGTAAGTAAGTGCTCCGTCATGTACATAAAATAATCTTACATCTATGCTTCACTTGCCAAATAAAGGAGAAAAACTGAAAATAAGAAGAGCTCTGCATAGGCAAAAATGCACTGGGTGCAGCTGCCCCGCTTAGGCAGAACAAACATGCAAACTGAACCCATGAAATTTAGGCCAAAGAGGGAAGAACGTAGGAGGTAATGGGCTTGGCTGAGTGAGAAAAGCTTTTTAAAAAGTTAAATAAAACCATCCAAAACTAGATCATTCCAATAGGTTGAGTCTCAACGCTGGTGCTACTGATTGCCTGCTGTTTATTAAGCCCTGATCCCCACCACCTCTGACTGAGGCAGGCAGAGCCGTACGGCCGTGTAGGCTCCCACTGACGTCAGTGTCTCAGCAATACACGCACAGGACGGTTATAACTCTGCTTTCTTCACTTATGGGTCTAGGAAGGAAGTTGCTGCTGACTGTAGGGGAGATGGATGTAGCCATCTGCTAGGGAGCACTACATGACTGGGAAATGATCCAGGCAAAACGCTGAAGGCAGTCCTTTTTTTGAAAGCTTGCCATGATATACCAAACTGGCCAGAGCAGAGGAGCTCTTGGAGGTGCCAGTTTTTAATGTTAAGCAAGTGTCTCTGGACTGTAACTTGACATTCAAGTGGCAAAATTATCGGTGGAAAGGCACATCATTATTCTATGGGAACAAATTCTGTCTTTGTGTGAATGGGCACAACTGCCATGGAATTCAGTTTATCCCAGCACCGAATCTGGGGCTTTAATCCAGGCTTAAAGCTGAGACCATGGCAGACTGTATAGATTAAATTAGGTGAAGGGTTAGGAAAGGGCTGCTTCATCATTTCTTTCACTGGTGGTTTTTCTTGCTACCAACGCCCTTATGTAGACCCTATATCCTTCTTAATGCCAACTTTTACAGACCCACCACATTTTAAATGCACGCAAGACTTGCTACTACAACAATCTACATCCACCTGTGCTCCACTTACAATCAGCTCATGCTTGGTGTATAAATGCAACCACGTTTACACCAGAAAACAGACTTCCTTGGATGTCTCAGCTACTTGCTAGAAGTTACACTTGGCTGAAATTGGCCAAGTGATTGGTCAAGAGATTGGTTAAGTACCTGGATATGCAAATGTGCTCTGCATTTCATTAGCCTTATTGATGCAAACAGCTGCTACTTCTCCATTTTCTCTAACTATGCTTCACAGGTGCGGAAAACACCGCGGCCAAGGACTACGGAGAAACTGGGCTGCATAAGCTTAAGCAATTGCATTAGTTATTAGATTAGAAAGGAAGCAGTATTTCAGCAATGATGCAAATAAACACTTTGAAATTAAGTCTAAAGAGATATGAGACTGAATACTAAAGTAGTAGGACAAGCTTCTCAGTGTGTATCTTAGCCCTTTTACGCTGAAACTGGTTGAGTTTTTCTGAAATACATCAATGTATGTTTTATCACATGCAGATGTGACCATTATTCTCTCACCCCCCTTCCCTGATGTCATACCAAAGAGAGACAACTATATTAAGTTCAAACAGCCCTTGAGCACACTTACAAGGGAAGAAAGTGGGTCTAAAAATACACTCTTGCCCTTTACCATTTAAGATGAAACGCTGTCACCATAAGAAAGAACAAGCCAAAATGTTTTCTTTGGAGTGGTGTCTTGCTAAAAAAATGCAGTTTTACCTAAATCAACATAGTTCGTAGGACTTGTCAGCGCCATGTCTCATTTCCATACTACTTCACACCAGCATTTCAGCAGATCAAAATACTGTTGCTTCTTCTAGTGTGGGGGCTATCATCAGAGATTAGTAAGTGGCTAAAGTGGCAGCAGTCCCCCGGGGGCGGCTGTGCTAACTGCCCCTGGGCTGGCCACAGGCTCAGCAGTTAAGGAACAGGTGACAGGGTGAAATGCCAAGGAGGAGAGCGAGCTCTGGGGATGACAAGAGTGCTGGGATGAAATTAATAGAGGAGGTAAACGAGGTGGTTCTCAAGCTGCAGAACAGCGCATACAGAGGCCACGGCATCTGGAACATTAAAACACGAGAGAGCATCCAACAGGGTTAGGGCTGCTTTGGGAGTAGGATCCTCAAACCAGTATCATCCCTGCCAAAATTCTATCGGCAACAAGTTAGCTCTTGAGCCTAGCTATGCATATGCCACTTCCCAGAAAGTCTATTGATTCTGCAATACTTTTATATTGGTGTCACATAGACATATGTCTTCAGAAGAAAACGAGGGATCTTACTCTAGCCAACCTCCTTTAAGCATACACCTACTGGATATGAAAGAAAGATCTCTGCTACTTTTTCTGCTCCTGAACAGACAACACTGACTGTAGGTAGCAACCAAAGCGACTTCTTGGAACCCAGGGTAGTTAGCAACTGCTTTAGCATAGTCCTGATTTCTATAGGCAGAGATATTAATATATGTAGGTTACAAAAATATATGATATTCTCATTTTTCTGCATCTTTAAAGATATGTGGAATGACAGCCAAGGAAATACTAGAATAGTAGATAACAGTTA